ATTATTATCTTGTTATGATGAAAATTAATAGCAGTATTCCTGTGATATTGTTATCTTATTTGTTAAGATGGAAATAGGTGTATTTCAATATATAAAGGTTTTTTAAAGGTAGTTTTACTTCTATCATTAGTTGGTCTCTGGTTGATATTTAGAACATGCTTTTTAACAGTATTTATTATAATTCAATAAAAATTAGTTTTTCATTCAAGTGGGCAAGAAAGAAAAATTGAATTAATGTTACTAATAAAACTGAAATAATTTAAAATACATCTTTAAAAATTCTCTTAATAATTTAGGTAAAATTAATTTTTGTGACTATCTGAGGCCACAGAGACTATTAAGTAAACCTCGTTAAAAAGGCAAGTAAATTGAATCTAGTTGACTTATTTGACCATTCTGTATAGCCTTCAGTATTGTATTTGATGTTCATGTATTAGCTTTCAGAGGATGAAACAATCCTTACCAAAAGTTTAACTCAAGCAAAAGTAGTAATGGTAGAGATCCATGTCTTAAAAGGTGAGAGAATGATTCCTTTCCTCTTACTTAACTACAATAATTTGAAACTCCATTATGGGATAACTGATGCTTTGTATTGGAATAATTCATATGTCTGTGACTGCAATATAATATAAGTTTCTAATAGTTAGGAACTAAATCCAAATAATCTTTGTACCTTCCCCATAATGCTTAGCACAGAGGTACATGGAAATCTTACTTGGTAAATGTTACTGAATTAGAGAATTACTGAAGAGAAGGTTTTTAATGGATTGCAAATACACTCATATTTATATATTATTTAATATGTATATGTATATATTTAATATGTTTATTTTCTTTTATTATAAAATGCCATACAACATAAAAACATAATGTAATACCACAGCAAAATAAGCTACTGTGTTTTATGTAGCCTCAAGTTGGTTTTTTTCTGTGAAGTTTTTAAGATTTGATGTTTAATAAAAAAGTAAAATACCCAGCACTGTTTTTGAATGTCTCTTTCAGAAAAATATTAACTACCACCTAATATCAAAGAAAAATTTCTGAAGTGTGTTTCCCTTCTGATTATATATTTTCTTAAAGTAAAGGCCCTCAAATTAACTATATTTGACTTTGTGGATTTTTTTTATTTTAGTGGTCTGCATTGTAGAACATAAACCCAAAGCTTTTAATTAATTTATACTTGAAAGTTGATGACATGACAGCAATCATACTTTTCACAGCATGTCTCTAAATTTTATATTAACACAAAAGACTTAGACAATTGTACATATTCTAAGTACTAAACTAACCTTCTAAGATTTGATGTTTTGACATACTTGAGAATCAACACTCTTTATTTATGTTGCTTCTACCTTGACTTTAGAAAATGCAAATTACAGATATAAATGGATTAATTTACTCTTCTACCAGAATAAAATGCCTAAGACTTTCTCAAGCCTTGAAACATGCTGAGTATTAAACAATATAATCCTTTTTTTCCTCAAAGAAATTAATTACAGGTTAAGTCTCTTCTCCTTTCATCATTAAAAAGTAAATAGTATTTGTGAATACTATTATTTCTACTATAAAAGATAGCTTATACTAGTTTTTGGTGTTATTTATATATGTTTTAATTGAATTGTGGTTAACATACAATATTATATTAGTTTTAGGTGTATAATTTAGTGATTTGACATTTATATACATTACAAAATACAATGGTAAGTGTAGTTATCATCTATCACCATACAAAGTTATTACAATATTATTGATTATATTTCCTATGTGGTACTTTTCATCTATGTGATTTATTTATTTATAATTGGAAGTTTGCACCTCTTAATTCCCATTACCTCACATATTCTATATTTAATAAAGTTTAATCATTCTTACCTGAATCCAGACCAGGTATGTGTACCATATATCATGAAGAACAGCAGTCTGAGAGAATACAAAAGAATTCTGAATATAGTACTGAAAAATGAGACATGAATGCTTTTCTGAATATGGGTATGATTCAAACAGACAAGTGCAGATAAATCTACATGAATATTGCATCTGGTTCACTGAGTGGCTTATAATTTTGAAACTGTCACATGTCAGCAAATATATCAACACTGCTAGAAAATAAAAAAAGAACTACATATCTGTTAAGTGAAATTGCTTCTACCTCACATAAGATAGCCATGACTATATTTTAAATAAAAAGTTAGATTTTAGAAACAAATTATTTTTATATGTATTATCATTAAAGCTTCTCTGAGTGAAGAAAACTGCAGATGTGAAAGAGCTCAACAAATGTTTGAGAATGAGTATCCATATACACATTGTGTGTGTATATATATGTAAGTATATAAACATATATACCTGTATGTAAATATAATGTGTAGCACAGTGGTCAAATAATTGTGGTAATTCTTTTGGAATCTCACTAGTCAAAGGTCATAATATTTCAATTCATGTTCTTTGAGATGAGTTTTAAGAGGTCATTATTTTCTAGACATGCAATTGACACTATCTAAATATATAAAGCAGTTTTTATTATAATATTTATAAAAATCTTGCAATGCTTTTCTTAAAAACCAAAACCAGAACATAACTATCAATTGTGTGACCAGAAAGTAATATATTATGTCATGCTTCACTATGACTTATTTACACAAACAAAAATTGTGAATTGCAGATAAATTGTAGGTAGAGGCAAAGATAGAAATCCAATTTAAAAATTCAAATCCAACTTTAAAAAGGTCATGGAAGTCTATTCATTGGCAGTAAATAAGAGACTGTTTAAACAAAATATCAGTATGATGAATCATTAACACTTCTAAGAATATTTATTTAGACATTATGATTTATATTATAATGCTTTTCGATTTTACAGTTTGCAAATTATAAACTGAGTCTGCAAATGCCCATGTGGTCAATCAGTATCAGTAAGAGAGGTAAAATCAAATTTTACTCCTTTAAGTACCAATACATAAACTCCATACTTGGTTACCTTTTCAGCAGTGATTTGCATATATTTAAATTGGCAGGGACACCTTTAAAGAGAGGCAGTGTTTGAATTCGTAAGGAGAGTGAAAGTACAGTCACCAATCAGAAAGCTTCCTTACATTCTCCCAGTCACTAGCATCTCACATCTCTCTCCAAGCAGCTGAATTAGACGTGGGGCCTCTCTCCCTGTCCTCTCTGCCTCCAGTTGACTCTAAGCCAATAACTGAACTTCAGCTACCATATACGATACAAACATCACAGCTTGGAAACACATCGAATGAGGATCCTTTCTCCTCCAGAATTCTGTAAGCATCAAACGCTTACCCTTTGCTCTTTCATCAGCTATTTCCCCAACACTTGCCACTGTGCCATTTCCATCTGCCCACTTTGAAAATACCGTCTACCCTTTGGAATAACCCTGATTTCTCTTCTCCGCTCAGCTTTTTCCGTTGCCATAAATACGTTCTGAGTTTTAAGGTGGGCTTTTCAACCTCACTCGACTGTGACAGCCTACGGCCCTTCAAGAAAGAAAATGATGATGCTAGAGAATAAGAGCAAATAAAGTATTCAAGAACCCCCATACTAGCAATATGGGTTGCTCGGCGCCACCCTATAAAAACGCATTAAGTTTAGTCTGAGAGCCTCCCCCCTTCCTTTCCTCTTCCTCCTGTGAGCAGCCGCCGCCACCTGCGAGCCGCGGAGGCATTTTTGTTGTCGACTAACTCCCTCTAGCGCCGACCCGGCAGCAGCCGAGCGGAGGCTGCCAGGCGGGCAGAGCGCAGGGTCGGCGGCGCTCAGGAGAGCTCGCGGCTCCGACCCTGCCCGCTGCGCCCGCCTCGGCCGCGGGACTAGGGCGCGGGGGCCACGGACGCGAGCGCGCTCCCTGTCGGCGCTGCGTGTGGCCGCGGCCCTGCGCCGAGCGCCGCGTGAGCCCACCGAGCAGCCAGCGAGTCTGCGGCTTCCCAGCGGCTCGAGCGCTGGCGGGAAGTGGGTGCCGCGAGGGGGCGGCTTGCGCGGGGAGAGCAGTCCCCTCGCCGCGCACTGGGCGCCGCTCAGCCCTCCGGCTGCTGGGAGCGCGCGGTCCGCCGCCGCCACGCCCGGGGCACGCCGGGGGCGCTCCGGGCCTCCAGAACCCCGGCGCCCGCGACTGCGACAATGCTCGTGACCTCCGCCGCGAAGTCACCGCCGCACGGCGACGCGGAGACCTCCGTGAGCCCCGGCGCTGGGCACCCGCCCGCACCCAGCCTGATGTGACTCTCCTCAGCTGCTGGCTCGCTCTTTTTTGCCTTACTGGGACTCGAAGCAGCGGAGGAGGCCACAAAGTTGAAGCGCTCGCCCTAGTGGGCAAGTTTGGGCGACCGGAGCTGAGGAGCGGTTGGCGTGGTCGGCCGCCGCCAGGCTCGCCCCACAGCGGGAGCGCTTGCCCGCAGCACTCACCCCCTCCGGCGGCGGCGATGTGGAGAAATCAGGGAGAAGCGGTGTCGGGGGCTGATTAGCCCTTAAACGCTCGGTGCGGCTGCCGCGAAATGGGAAGCAAAGTGTTTGGGGGACTAAGTTCGGCCTCAGAAATGCCCGGAAAGAGGCTGCCAAGGCCGAGGCGCAGCGCGGACGCGGCGGAGTTGGAGGTGCCCGCGGTGCCAGCCGCGGCCGTCGCCACCTAGGCGAGGGGCTGAGGGCGCAGCTCGTACGTAGCTCGCTCGCTCGCTCGCTCGCAACCACTCGTGGCCCCGCGGAGCCACGTCGTTTCTTTGGCCGTCGCCACACCGGCCGGAGGCGTGCCCGCGCCCCCTCGCAACCGCTGCGCTTCCCTGCTTTTGGCTCTGCAAGTGCCCACTTCTGTCCGGAGAGGCGCTCCGGCCGCCGAACTGCCCGCCGCACCTGGTCGTCCCTTCCCCTGTTCCCCCAGTGAGGCGCCCTCCCCCGCCCCCTCTCTCCCCTCCCCCAAACAACAGCCCAAGCTCGCTCCTGCGCGCGCGCTCTCCCGGGCCCAAGTGAATAGTCCTCGCGCGAGCGGGACACGGTGGTGGATGCAGTTCCGCTCGCTTACAGCCGCCAGGAGCTCCCTGGCGCCGCAGGCAGCGTCCTCCTCCGAAGCAGCTGCGTCTGCACCTGGGCAGCCTGGACCTTCGTGCCCTGCCCCCGGGGCCGCGCGCGGGGGGCGCCCCGCGACACCTCCTGAGGGCCGGGTGGAGGAGGAAGAGGAGGAGGAAGAAGACGTGGACCCGGACCCCTACCCTACGCAGGACACCTGGTCCCGCCGCTGTCACTTCTCTTTAAGTGGGAGAAGAGAGCTGGGGAGAGCCATGGGGGGCTGCGAAGTCCGGGAATTTCTTTTGCAATTTGGTTTCTTCTTGCCTTTGCTGACAGCTTGGCCAGGCGACTGCAGTCACGTCTCCAACAACCAAGGTAAGGGACGGGGCGGAGGAGGGGGAGGGGGCGGGAGGAGGCGAGTGCATTGGTCGCCTCCTGCAGGTAACTTCGTCCCGGGGTAGGCTTCTTCACACGAGGAGGTCGAGGTTGTCCCCTCTACCAGAGCGCCAGGAGCGGCGACCTCTCGAGTTGCGGTCCCTTTTGCTCCCAAACGTCTTTAAACAGATGCCCGGGCATCAGCAGCAGTTGGGTCCCACCGCTGGCGGCCGCGGGACCGCTCCCCGCAGCGCTGTCTCCACAGGAGGTCAGGCTCCGTGGCACAGGCTTAATGGACTTCTGGCTCTTCGCTGCTGCTCACAGCACGGGTACTTGTAGGTTCTCACTTGCCTTCATGAAAGCAGATAGCTCCCGCTGTACCCTGTGACTAAATACCAGCCTTGTTCCTGGGGTAGCTCTGCTGCCCGCGCCCAGCCGCAGCCCCCTTAGCCCATTCAGAGCGAATGTAGACTTGTTGGAAATTAGTCCTGCCTGGACCAGATGCCCAGATTTTTGTGGTTTCTTTCTTGCGGTGACGGGGGGGTGGGGGTGGGGGGACAAAGGGTGGGGAGAAAAACGTTAAGTGTGAATTTCCAAGTTGTGAATATCCTACTCGTAAAGTCGAGTCACTGACAGATTTTTTAGGAGGAAAACTTTGTTAGGTAAAGTGATAAAGTGAAACTGAATAGTGTGTGAAAATTGAAAGTCAGGTTTATTGAATGGAAAGCAGTGAGAATTCTTGAACATTTTCTTTCCTTCTATTCAGTAGTCTTTATGAGACATACCTCACTGGATATCTCCTACGAGTATTTAAGGATCTATAAAAATATCACCTGCATAATCTAAATTCCTAGAACTAAGTGGTGAACAACCATAAAAGTTTTCCAGCATGTACTGGCTGGATGCTCTCATTGGCGCTGTGATGACCACCCGTTATGTCACACGTTTCTAGAGACCTCAAATGTACAACTTTAATTAGAGCTATAACATCGAAGGCTTCGAAATAATTTGCAGATACAAAAATGGAGGTCAGATGATATGAAAGTGTGCACTTGCTTTGTGAGGATGAGAAGGTTAGAGAGAAGGCAAGTAAAACAACAGCCTTCTTTTGTGTCATAAACATCTGACCTTTTTTTTTTTTTTTGGAAACATAATTATTCAGAATCAATATTCTGTTTTTATTTATACACTGCTACTTTTGACATGTTTTCCTAATTATTTGTTGTTTTTTGTTTTACCTGCCAGATTGAAATCACAAGTGCATACGTAAATTCAGAAATCACACATAACTGTCATGTCTTTGAAGATCTATCACATAAGTGCCACCTATAGTGCCATATTTGCCAATGTTGGTGTATACCTTCACACACATTCTTCATTTGTTTTCAAGGGACATTGGCATTAAATATTGGAGGGGTAGTTACTTAATATAGTTCTGTGAGAATAGAAGATTGTAAAAAATAACAAAATTATTTACTTTGACTTTTTTGTGGGGTGAGAAAAACAGTTTTTAATAATCAGAAAGTCAGACGTTTATATTGTGGTATGTGTTAGTATTTAGTATGTTAGTATGCATCTCTTTAGTAGCCACAGTAGACTCATTTACTAGAAATATTTAACAGTTATTTCCATGCAGTAATATCCCTAAATCAACATTTAGTTTTTCATTAAGTGTCCATGATATACCAGTTACCATACTGGGCCCTGGGGAGACTAACATAAATAAAATACATAACAGAATCTCCAAATGACTAAAGTGCCATTCCACCAAAATGTGTTGTCAAGTGTTAAAGTACCACGTTTCAGATATTCATGATAAATTTAAGGGCAAAGAGGAGTTATTTGTTAACCTCTTGTAGTAATTCCTATTTGTTGTAATGACTTTCCCATACTTTTTAAATACATTTTACCTAAAATATTTACCAAATATATGTAATATATGTGTTTGTATCAATTAGCTTAACTTAACATTTGTGAACATTACTTAGTTTATCCATCAGTTAAGGAGGATCATTAAAGATAGTCTAATGAACTCTTAATTGGAATTTTTATTATAATAGAAACACAGGCTATGCGTAAGATTACACTTGAACAATATCGTACCTAAAGGCTAAGTTGGATAAAATTTAGAGGAGTTCTTTAACAGAAGATTATAGAGAAATATGCTCAGAATTTTTTTTTATCATACACAAGTAATTGCTTATAAAATGCTTTATACAGCCTAAACTCATGGTGATTAGGAATTAAGCCTTATGTTACTTTAGGATAATTTTTGAATACTGAAATCATCACACTAATGGTTAATAAAATGTCAAACTTCAAAATGTTATTCTAATTAACATTTTGGAGATACGTTTTTAATTCATAATTTCATAAATTAGATAACATGAATCAAAACATTCCTTAACAATTTTTAAACTTTGAAAATACGGGGCATTAGAGTGTCTGTATAATATAAAAAGAATAATAATAAAACATAAATTAGATTTGTTACACACGATAGCAAAAATTGGTGATATGATTAATATTTAATTTTAAGGAGATAGTATTTATTTTCCTAGTAATTTGTCTTAAAATGGAATTTAAGTTTTATTTTTAAAATTTGTTAGGGTATAATTTCATTTTTATATAACTTGTCTTCTGATTAAGGATATTTACAAAGTAAAAATTTTAATGGTATTTATAATTTTTACCAAATTATGTAAAATCTTTCATGGTTGAAATGAGTAGATTCACCTCTCCCTCCCCTTTTTTTCATACTTAGCCAGGGTAAAATGATGATGACAAAAAAGTGAACTACCTCATTTTTAACATGGTGCTTAACAAGGTACTGAGAGTAACTTGACTATAGGAAGCATGTCTTGTCCTTTAACTGGCTCTGAAGCTCTGCACTATAAAGATGAAATAAATCAATTTGACTCTCTCTTCCTATTACCTAAACCTCCTTGAATCGATCAGAAAGTAGAGTTGCTTCCTAGATCACTTCATCTGATTAAGTAAGTGAAAACATGATTTGTGTTCAAATTTCTTATATTCCATTTTTTCCCATTTAAAACCATAATATTTAGGTATAACCAATTTTTATTCAAAAATAACAGATTTTACCTTCTTCATAAGCTTTTATTTCTGTATTGGGCATTTAGGTGAATATAAAGCATAATCTTGTTTCATATATAAGTAACCATGTCTGTCAATTACAGTGGTTAATAGCCACCAGGGGTCCATTTATTCAAAGATTACTCTCTTTTAGCTAATAGTACTAAATAGCCTAAAAGTGCTGATTTATTTCTCACGTCATGTTTTCAAAACTAATCAGAGACTAAAATAATTCATTAAAACAAAATATGGTTTGCATACTAGAGTCTAGTGAACTCATTTTAGTACCAGGATTGTGTGAACTGATCATTTTTTCCAGGATACTTAGGACTAATTCAATAAACAAGCAAAACAGTAGTCTGACTCATTAGTATCCCGGGATTTATTAATCTGAATGAATTGACTGTAAAATCCACTGAGTTATATGTGAATACAGGTTAACATACCTGAGCAGAAAAATATCCTCTTAAGAAAAGTCATAGCCTAAAATTAGTTGAACCTCCATTAGTATTGTTCACGAACTGTAAAAGTAAATTTTGTTCTTATATTTATAGAAAAGGATGAATTGAAAATTTTTTAGGAAGTTTGAGTGAACTTTATTGAAAATATTAAAAACTTTGTTAAAAAAGAAAAACTGGATGGTGTACAAAGTATATTTCAAAAAGACCTTTTACCTAGATAAAATTCATTTTCAGGGGTAAGCTATTCATAGTTGTAAAGGGGCAGGAGGTTGTAATCACATGCCTTCTTATTAACTGTAAGTATAAAAACAACCTAAAATGTAATTTTATAATACATTTACAAGTTAGAAAAAGTCATGTGTAATTATTATGATTAGTTCTCAAAGTAGAAAGATAAAATGCCATTAATATGTATTGATCATCTAAGTATTGTTTGCTCTGGTTTGGGGATAAAAGTATATCTAAAAACTTTTTCATGCACACAAGTTATACAGTATTCTTTAAGGGTCTCTTTAAAGTAGAACTAACATAAACAAAATGGTTTTATTTTGATTTTCCTAAGAGGAAAAACATATATCTAGGGTGCAAGACAAAATTAACGTTTACATTACATCTTTTAATTTTTTAATATTTTCAATATTTTCTGTATGGAACTTGTATTACTTTTGTTACAAAATTATATATTAAAAATATTAGAATAGAAATCCTTTTGTTTCTTCACTCAATATTGCCGGTATAAACTAGTACAAAAGGCATTATAGATTTCTTGTATTTCCTTCTCCTAATGATCTTTCCCCATCAGAGGCACCACATCTCACTCAGTTTCTGCCTTTATTCACACATCTGAGTACTTCAGACTACATATTGCATTTGTCCCAGATGGCAAGAGAATAGATTGTATTTTATACTGTACCTCAACCAGACTCTAGAAATAATAGAAAGTTTCTTCCTTGTGTTTGACTCAACACTTTTTGGGAGTATAAATATGATAGAGATCAATACATAAGTAATCAAAATGGGTTGACTTTGCCCAAAGTGTAATTATAATCCAACCAAATTTATACAGAAGGATTAAATTGTTTATCCATTCACCATGTCCTTTTTTAAAATAAAAAATAATATGTATTTAAAGTGTGCAACATAATTTGATATACTATGTCTATAGCATTTTGATCAGCTTGTAATTTCATTAGACTGGGGAGGTGACACTTGAGCCAGATTTTAGGGAGAAAAAAGGTAGAAGTATGGAAGGGGAAGAATTACATTCAAGGTGCAGAGAACTTGCCTGGGCAGTGATCTGGAAAGGAAATGAGCCTGATGCGTTTGAAGAACTGAGTCAGTATGACTGGAGTTCACTGAACAAAGAAGAGAGTAGCACAGTGGTCTAAAAGATGGCTAGGAACCAGATCCCACAGAGAAGAAAAGGAGTTATGGTAAGGAGTT